AGAGAGAGAGAGAGAGAGAAAGAAGGGAGAAAGAAAGAGAAATAAATAAAAAGAAAGGGAGGGAGGGAGGGAAAAAGGAGAGGAAGGAAGGACTACAAACCTGGCACTAGATGCAGCTTCAGAGGATAACCCAGGGCTGGAAGGGACCTGGAGGTCATCTATCCAACCCTGCTCCAGCAGGAAATTGTTAAAGGCCTGGAGGGAGGGATGAAAAGAGGGGCGGGCTATCCTGCTGTGCCCCCCTCCTTCCTCTCAGAGTGGGCAAAGGCAGGCAGAAGTTCAATTGGTCCAGCAAACCTTCTCTCAGCCGTGAACTTTGGATGCTGCCCCCCCCATAGTGGCAGGAAATATGGGAGGAGGGGGTGAAAAGACCACCAGAAATACTCTGGACTGGACGGAATTTTTTTTTCTTTTTGCACAGTTTTATATTTTTAATCTATCTACTAAAGTTAAGTTAAGTTAAGTTAGTTAAGTTAAGTTTATTTTAAAATATATTATATGTACTAAAAGATTTTAATATGTTTTCTTTTCAATGATAACCTGCAAGTCTCCTTGCAGAGTCCCCTTGTAGGGGAGACATCAGAGAACAAATTAATGGAAGGGACCTTGGAGGTCTTCTAGTCCAACCCCCTTCAGACCATTTCAGACAAGATGGGCACCATACAAATGTAATATACATAGATAAAACCAAATACCTTATGCCTCCCTCCCTCCCTTTCTCCCTTGGGGGAGGGGATAGGGGAGGAGGAACAAGGGGGGCATACTGACCCACCTGGGGTCTCCCAGCCCTTCCCTCCCCTCAACCCTAATCTTCTCTGGTTACCCTCAACTTTTCTTCTCCCCCTAATCTTCAGTCCTTCTAGGATCTGGGGTAGAATCGGGGCTCTCTCCTCTCCCCTTCCCAAAAGAGCCCCCAAGATCACCTCCAAGGGGACCCAGGGGTGGCGACTGCTTCTCATCTCAGTTAGGCCGCCTTCCCACGACTGGCTCCCCACCCCAGTCAGAAGGAAGGGAGACGGCCATCCCTCTTCGTCCTTCTGGGCGAAGTGGGGCGAGGGGGGGGGAGCGGAGACCACGCGGAGATCGAAGTTTCTCACGGCTCCCCCCTCTCTTGCCCTCGACCCCTTTCCCCATTACTGGGGTCTCTCAGCCCCTTTCTTCCCCCTCTTCCCTTTGGAGCATTGACGGCCCCGCCCCGCCCCTCTCCGCGACGAGCCCCCTCCTCACCGGGGGTCTCCTTCCCCCCTTCGCTTCCGGGGATCCGGGCCAGC